TTTTATTACCCCCCCCCCCCCCCCGATTTGGGTACCAGAGTAAAAATGAACATATTACTACAAATGGCATAGTACTCAAAAAACTAAGAAACTACGGATCAAAGATTTTAAAAATACTACAAGGTCACCTACCAGTGTATTGATTTGTGCAGTAACATTCAATATCTGAAATACTTCCTGCAATAAACAGTTCTTGAGCAAAGAAATGAGAAGATCATTCAGTACTTGAGAAACAAAATCCACACCAGGAGTAACTTCTCTGTAATATTTCACAAATATCTGGACTGAAAAAAAAATTAAATTTATTTCACTTGGGGTAACTGATGCTAAGTATTTAAACAAATTATTTCCTTAAATTTTAAATGCAGTGTAACAACCCTTGATTATCCAGGACATTATGGGACAGGGATATTGAAAAAAAATGGGTGAAAGGATCCAGTTTGAATACAGTGTTAACCTTACTAGACCCAGACTGACTATTCTGAAATGTCTCATGTCATGGAGCTGAACACTATAAGCCCTGTAGATTTCAAGAAAGCTTAGCTCATTTGGTGCAGCACAAGAAAAATGCACAAAACCAGGTTAGATTTGGTAAGTGCATCAAGGTAGTAAGGCCTGACATAAAGCTCTAGGAAGTCAAGCGCAGTGTTATTATGGTAGGTGGTCTTACAACCTGTTCTAGTGCTAGCCTTGATAGACACATACTGTAGCCTGCTGGTACCCAGTCTTACCTGCATTACAATGCTCAGTATTTCAGCATGGGAACATTACTACACAGGGTGCAACTGGATCCCACGTTCACATTGTGCTACACTCTAATAAGCTTTCAAAAACTTAAAGAGTGCACAGGACAGGTACAAAAGGAATGACTGCCCAGAGTAAAATTTAGCCCTTTCTGACTGAACTCAAAAGCTCAGATGTATCTGAATCAACTACAGTCCCTAAAATGTGTTAATCATAATTGTTTGCATATATTGTAATGTGAAAGGACTAAACTAAAGCTGTTTGAGTGCTGTAACAGCACTTCATTTCAAGAGCTTAATTCTAAAATTTTTGGATTTGTGATGTTTGGCCAGGGTGTTCAAAAGTGCCTTAAGAAAATCTTGGTTCTGTTAAACCTCCCCCCTGCCCCAGTTACTCGTTTCTATTCTCAAGTCTAGTTACATTCAGGCTAAGTTCATTTTCCATGGAAGTACGATTTGTAACAACCTCCTGAGATAACTGCACATGTAAATACCTAGCCTCAATGGGAAATTAGAACATGAAAATACATGGACTGAATGTACTCCTCTGAAACCAGAACTTTTTATTCACTGTTGAAGTGGCACCCATTTCTCTCCTGACAGCCCATTTAATTTGCTTTAAATAAGCTAAGTATCAAAGATACATCAAAAGCTACTACTATATCATACCTGCACGTTTTAGAAGGCCTGATTCATTGATACTAATGTATGCCCTAAGTATTGCCATGCAAATCTAGAAAAAGAGGAAAAAAAAGAAATCCATAGTAAAATGTTACTTCTGTTTATGCCAAACAAAAGAACTACCTACAAACATGAGTTCTAGAAGGAAACGAGCTTTACATTGCTTCTATTTAACCCATACAATCTGACAAATGGTATAAGAAGGTAATTGGGTCTGTAGGCAAAGACTCTGCCAAAAGGACAGCAAATCAAGTAGAAAAATAATGTAGATGAAATGTTTGGGAAAGGAGCTGCTGCATGCGTGTGTATATACTCATAGCAAACAACGAATTTGAAAATACAGTTACTTTGGAATTAGTATAAATGCGGGAGACTGTAAACAGAGAAAGGGAAGCAGAAAGGTGAAAGTGAAAACATGATAAACAAAAATTACATGAATGTACCAACTAGGAAGTAAAAAAGTCACCTAGAAATGAAGTTGGGAACAGTGATTATCACAGGGAATCACTCATAAGGACATAGAAGAAAAAACTCAGAACTAATTTGATTTAATGAACCACTTCACCCCAGACCCACTTGGTTAAAAAAAAAAATCCACACCCTAGATATTTTAATATGTTACTTGGTATTGGAACATTCTTGTCTTAACATCTTAAGCTGTCAGCTTTGTGATACTTACACATTTTGTTCCATCTCTGCAGATGAAGAAATAAAGACTACTGAGATTAAATCTTAGAATGCCAAGTTAGGAAAAAAACCACCCACCCTTTCAGATACCCTTTGTCACTTCTGGGGCATTTACAGTCTTTCTGCACAACAATGTAAATGGGTCATATTTATTACCATTTTGTGAAATAATGAAAAAAACCAAGAGACAGAAAATGCCCTAAATTAGTAGTCATGTTATTACAGAACTGAGTTGGATTTATTTTTACATGCAACTTCAAAAATAGACAAGATCCACTCATGGAGTTTGTTACACAGCAAATGAATTATCATGAAAGCCGAAGATACTGGCTTGTGGTCAAGACATCTTTCTTTTTTTAAAACCATTAACCTGTTCTGATCATCAGTCAAAGACACCAAAAGTTGTACATGTAAATACGCTGAACATAAATAAAGCTTATTGTTTTTATTTTGAAACAGTGTCATAATGTTGTTGAACTATAGTCTAAGATATACCTTTCAGAAAATCAGGTAGAATCTTTGATCGTTAATATATATGCAGTGTCACTTGGCATTGGGCTAACTCATTTAATCCAAATCTACAATCCCAGGTGGCTGAGGGCATTTCCAAAACTTAGCACATGCTTACAGTATGTAAATTAGTTTGCTTTCTTTTAGAATCTGTTTTCCTCCTTCTTTGGACTGACTCCCAAAAAAAAGCCAAGACTGCATCTGGAGCTCTGACTGTTCCAACTATTAGTGAAATTGCTTGGAAAATCCAGTTGTAGTAGTATTTAATCATGGGACATGTTACATTACATTCATAAAAGAAACTAAATGTGTTACTCATTTACAGCTTCTAGGAGGCTTCAGCTGATTTAGTTGTACAGACCACATAAAAATGTGAGAATCTCTAAATTTTGAGTTAACCATAATAGATTTCAAATGAAGGTACATGAAAGAGACAATTCCCATTTTTCTGTCACCTAATAGTTGATTCACAACTCACTTAACATGATAGTTTAATAAAAATCATAACAAAGGGCTGTGTATCTTATACAAGCAACCAACTGTCCAGTAAAACACAGTTGTACTACAGTTACACAGAGGTGCTTAAATCAGAAGAACAAGCACCAGAATTTATGAAAATCTTTCAGCATCTCCCAGTCAGTGTGCACTCTGATGTTTAACAAGGGGGAAAACCCCATACTGCAGCTCTTTGCTCAGTAAGATCAAAATGAGGATCCTTTTTACAGGAGGTTCCGTTTATGAAACCTGTGGCATGTTTGACACACACTCCATATTAAATGTGGCTGAAACTGACCAATGGGTTAAAAAATTATTTAAAGGTGGTTAGAGACAGTAATAAAAGGACAGTGCAACTTTAAGTCTCATTTCTTTAGGAAGCCAGATTTAAAAAAAACCCAACAAAACACAACAGAAGCATTCACCCAAGACCCTGAAGTTGCAAGACAACATTAACGAAGACAGAAACCTTCCGACTTTATACCCTGTTTGTTTCCAGTTAGAGGTTCATAGGATCAAGGGAAAAAACAGTAAGAAGTCACAAGAAGTAAATATTTCTTTAGTGCATATGAGTCCAAAAAAGTTAATGAGTAAGGTGCAGAAAGCTAAAATAAAATCAGAGAAATACAGTTTGCATAAAGACATGTTTTCAAACCACTTATTTAACTGTGCAGTTATTATCTATGCTACAGTCTGAAGTGTCATTCAAGCCAAACTGAATTTCCTGTAATTTCAATTTATGCCCGCTGTCTCTTGTCCTTTCACTGGGCACCACTAAGAAGAGTCCGGCTTCATCTTCTTACTGTTTTTTCCCTT